AAACATCTTTCTGGTATTCTTTGCTTTCAGCCAAGACCCATTGACATCAGCAATGACATCCCTTGTTCCGTGTCATCTAAATCCAGCTTGCATTTCTGGAAGTTCTGTCAATATACTACTGCAGCCATTTTTGAATTATCTTCAGGAAAATTTTACTTGCATGTGATATTAATGATATTGTTTGATAATTTCCACATTCTGTGGGCTCACCTTTCTTTGGAATGGGTACAAATATGGATCTCTTCCAGTCAGTTGACCAGGTAGCTTGTCTTCCACATTTCTTGGTGTAGATGAATAAGTGCCTCCAGTGCAATGGGTATTCCATAAATTCCTGCCAATTCCTTCAGTGCAACTTTGACTTCTTCCTTCAATACCATTGGTTCTTATCATATGCCAGCTCCAGAAATGGATAAACATCAACCAATTCTTTTTTGGTACAGTGACTCTGTGTATTACTTCCATCTTTTTTTATTTTTCCTTCATCATTCAGTATTTTGCCCATAGAATCTTTCAGTATTGCAACTTGAGGCTTGAATTTTTTCTTCAGTTCTTTCAGCTTGAGAAATGTTCTTCCTCCACACGTTATAAACCTAGAAAGTATATAATCTCATGCCAAAAGTGGATGTTGAGACTCTTATCTTGCCTTCCTACCACCTCTAGGTCCTTTTCCCAAGACCATTGGAACAAAATATATTCTGGTTATAAGTGGCTGTTAACAAAAGGAGAACTTATTTCCCCCTGAGAGGTGAGGAAATGTGGTGAAGCCAGAACTAGGACTAATAAGTTAATATTTAATAGAAAAATCTCACATACCCCTAATAGCCTGCCCTCTACAGTATGGCCCATGAAGTGGAAGCTTTGGTGGATCATCTTCAAGTGAGACTAACTCTCAAATCAAGCTAAACTATCTGCCATCAGGTCAGTTCCAACTCATGGTGGCCCCACTGGCTTTCCAAGGCTGTAAATCTTCACTGAAGTAAACTGATTCATCTTTCTTCCACAGAGCAGCTGGTGAGTTTGAACCACCAACTTTCGGGTTCACAGCCAAATGCGTTTAACCATTATCACCACCAAAGCTCTTTGAGAGTAACTCTGTTGTTGTTGTTATGTGCCATCGAGTTGGACCCGACTCATAGTGACCCCTCCTTGGGTTTCCAAGGCAGTATCACTATGGAAATAGATTGTCCCATCTTCCTTCTGAGGATTGACTGGGTATAACTCTAGGAGAAGGTAAAACAAGGATGAAAAATTATGAAGGAGGCTTTTGTCTTTAGAGGTCACAGGAGAAACCTAGTATTGCCATTCATTTCATTTTAAAGGGTGCTTTCTTCCTAATTAAAATATGTATATTTAAATAAATCTAAAGTACAAGTATTTCTATGACAAGTGACAGAAAAGTGCAGGTAAGCAAGCTTACTCTGTTATGAGATAATACAACCCAAGGGAGATAATACAAGAAGGAGTCCAAAGTCCTATTTTTAGATTTGAAAACTTAACATGGAACATTATGAAGTATGGTCTGTTTCTGTGAAATACAAAGCAAACTCATTACTGTTGAATTGATTCCAAGTCATTGTAACCTACAGGAGACGGTAGAACTGCTCCATTATGTTACCAAGGCTGTAATCTTTGTGGAAGCAAACTGCCACATCTTCCTTCTGTGGAGTAGCTGGTGGGTTCAAAGCACCGACCTTTCAGTTAGCAGCCCAGCACTTAATCACTATGCCCCCAGGATTCCTCATCTGTGAAATACCATGTGTTAACTGGCAGCATGGGCAAGGCCAGCAACCTGCAAAGAGATAACATTTTCAAAAGTGTCATCAGTCCTTAGCCATGTCAAGGATCTTGGTGGTTTGAGTTGAAATATAACACTTAGATTTCAATGATTCAGTGAGATGGTGCCTGACCTGGTTTTTCAAGGTTAAACATTTTTCGTTTTCTTTATGTTTTATAATGAGTTAGTTGCGTAAGCAGGACACAATATATTAGTGATGAATTCATTATAAACTTAATTCATTATAAATTTACTTATCAATAGGTTCAGTTAACTCTTGTGATGTATTTTAAGAAAGAGCATAAAGAAAGGATTCATTTGGAAAATGTCATGCAACAGAATCCCTTACAATGGTGGGATCAGAGTAAAGTATAGCACAAGACAGATAGATTTTGCCTATCAAAATGAGAAATATTTTAATCACCCTCTGAAGGTTATATTTAGTTTGTGGTAAATGGCAAATATGGTACTTTGTAAAAGAATGTATGGCCTCAAAAAAGGAGATCTTGAAATACTATACATTCTTTATGGCTTTACAGCTCACTTTCTGTGTTATAAACCTTTGACTCTTGAACACCTCGAACATCAACCAGTCTCTGGGTGCTCCTTCCTTTCCATAGACCTCCAAGCCAACATGGATCAATAGAACTGCTCAAAGGCTGGGGTACACGGCATTATGAGCCAATATCCTTTAACCCTCCTGAGTTTTTCCTGTAGGAAGAAATCCGTCACAAGCTGTGATCGTCCGTTTATCTGAATTCTTTATCCCTCATGGCATAGTACTATTCTACCTCAGCCAATTCTTTCTCATGTATGTTCCTTTTCCCTTAATTTTTGCCCAGTCATTCTCTGAGTATTATACTCTCCTTTCCTGTATGTGAGTGTCTTTTCTCTTTATTCTAGTTGAGAACCAAAACTATATCATAATCACATTGATAAGTATGAAAATGTTGGCAATACTGATATTAAATAAAAAGAAAAAAATATATTTTAAAGTGGAACTGAACAAAATAAAAAGCCAAGGCAATCTTTATCATCCAAAGTTCTTGAGAACTGAAGTCCCGTTTTAAATCTTCACTTAGGTTAAAATCCATCACTATGCCCTTTAAGTAAGCTTTTAAAAATCAGCTTTGTTTTGAAGAAAACAAAGTTATACCTTATTCTGTTTTACTCTTTTTCAATTACTGGTTTACTATAGAAATTGTATTTCTGTTATTTTGTATTGCAGATGTTCTGTGTTTCAACTTCATCAGAAATTAAATTGATATTTATGGGTTAATCTGGAAATCTAAAAACCATTTGTCTCACTACTTCCATAAGAAAATATGTTCAAATTCCCATCAGCTGACTTGTAACAAGGCTTTTGGAACACAATTCAATGTAAGTTACAGACATGCTATGTTTTGCCCTTTGTTATTCACTTCCTTTCCAGGTTAGGGCATATGTTTGCATTTGTGCAAGTGTGTGTGTATTGTATATACTTATGTGCATACATATACACATTTTCATGGTTCTGGGTTCATAGCATCATTTATCTTTTCTTTCCTTTTTTCCTTTGCTTCCTTCCTGTTTTTTCCCTCCCTCCCTTCCTCCTTTCCTCCTTTCCTTCCTTCTTTCCTTTCTTCTACAGGAGTTTGAATGACTAGTGTGTGAAAGGTGCATTTCTCAGCCTAAGGAATATCCAGAGACAAGGTCATTTGTACTCTAGTGGGGAGACAAACACAAATTAAACAATTGCTCAGATACATTTGAAATGTACACCCCAATAAGTGGTAGCGAAGGGAGGTCACACAGCACTATGCAAGCATGTGACTGGGATTTCCAGGTCAGAAGGTTCCTTGGAAAGCATGATTCTTCAGGAAGAAATCTATGATGAGGCAGAAGTTAAAAGGGCCAAGGAGCTATGACGTAATGAGAGAAGTGGGGAGGGGAGAGTAGAATGTACTCTAGACAGAGGGAACAGCATGTTCAAAGACCGTATTTGTTCACTTCTTGATGAATTTTTTCAGGAGTGACCACTGCGAAGCTAGGAGAATTTATAGTTTAAACCATATCATGAAAATTAATGGTAATCATACTGGCAAGCAACAAGGCACATATAATTTCACAAGCAGTTTTACTATTTTTGTTTTCTAGGTATGACGTACCCCTTAAGCCCTGACAACCACCTTGAAGATGGAATTATGAATATGGCAACTTTTCTCCAGGGTTTTGAAGAAAAGGGGGTACAGAACGACAGTTTTGAGGACCAGCTGAATAAAGAGAGGAAGAAAATTCTGTTCTCCTTCTGTGAGGTGTGCAACATCCAGCTGAACTCTGAAGCTCAGGCCCAGGTCCACTACAATGGCAAGTCCCACCGCAAGCGAGTCAAGCAGCTGAGTGACGGGCAGCCCCTGCCTCCAGCTCAGGGCTCAGGGCCACTGCTGGCCAGCCCCAACACCAACACCAGCACAGGTAGGAAGGAGGGACTGGGGCTTCCATTGACTTCTGGGAGAAAATGATTCTGCTCTTGCAAATGAAGGATTTAGAGCAAGACTGGTCTTTAGCCTAAAATTACCACCCCAGTATTATTTATTCTTTTCCCTATAGCAAAAGCCAAGAGCTGTTTGTCACTTCTCAGTATATTTATTATTATTATATACATCTCTCTCTCTATATATATATCTATGCATCTGTATTTGTACATGCAAAATTTGTATATTGGACTATATAGGCTTCCTATATCCTCATGGTGTGTGGACCTTTCCTATTGTATTTTGAAATGTGTTTAAAATAGATCAGCGACACGAAATTTTCCCCTCTTTGGAAAACTAAGCTTTCTTTGGTTTTCTTCATCTGCTTTCTATTGGATAATGTACTACTTGATATTATATAAAAAGCTGCAGCTTTATTTATAACATCTCTTCATGCAAGAAGGAACATTAATCTTGTGTGTTAGAGTTGTCATGTTCTTTTATGGAGGTGCCAGGAATGTGTTGGTGGTGTTCTAACAATAGAAACAGGCATTGCCAGAACCAACAATGCTCACCTCTGAGCTCAGGCACCATAATCACATTCACTTGTGTCTCACTTTTTCCTGTGGGCTGGATGGAGGCAGAAGCTTAGGAATTTGGGTACTCTGGCATTTGTCCTGACTTCTAAACAGCCTTTCAGACCCATTACCTTATCCTTGGGCAGCCCCTCCTCCTCCCCCTTGCTGGTCATCTGTTACCTTCACTGTGGCAGAACGAAATAAAATTTACTGTTATTCATGGTGAAGATTTCTGCAAAAATGTGGTCATCCTATCCAGGTTTATGTGGGAGGCCAAAGATAAGTCTCTGTGTAAATGTGGGGGAAGAGCTCCAAATTCCACTCCAGCAAGTGTTGGCCCTGGTAATGAGGCCTCAACGTGAAGTTAGATGACAGAAAAACTGGTTGTTGGTGTTCACTCCGTGCTGTTATGTGGTTCTTGATTTCACAGATTTACTCCATGATCCACATTAAACTTCAGTGAAAAGTGTGTGTATGTGTGTGTGCATGCACTGTAAATAACAAGAGGGATCTTTATATTTTAAAATAAATATAACTACTTTGTATTCAGCATATGTTTTAATTTTTCAAAACTACTTTCTCTCAATCAGTACTTAATGTGCTGTGAAAGAACAGGATGTAGGACACACACTGATAAGAGTGAAGAGTTATTTTTTCAATTTTCCATTTATTTATTATTATTATAATTATTCATAGATGTGTGAATGTGTGTGTATTTACATACTAGAATATAGTTAATGTTAGGTTTAAAACTAACAGTCTGAAATCAGGGAACAAATAATGGCTTGAGTAAAGGTTTGAATTACGTGTATGTAATTATTATGCATTATATCTATGCGTAAATTGTGGTTAACCTGTGACCTCTAATAAATAGTAATAAAAGTAGCTAATATTAATTGAACGTTTCCTATGTGCCATGTTCTAGCCCTAAGCACTCTATGAATTTTCTTTTAATTCTCTCATCAACTATAATTATCCTCAACTTACAGATTAGGATCCGAGATACAGAGAGAGGAAATAGTATTCCGTGTTCATATAGTAGTGTCAGATTGAGAGTTCTAACTTCAAATGATAGTGAAGTCATTGTTGTTCACCACTATTTTCCTACAATGCAATGCAAAACAGATACAATTCAGACCTATGTGTTAAACTTGTGGTCAGTAATAGTTGCTATTATAGCAAACAGTCTCACTTTGGGAAACTAAACTTGTCACCATCAAGTCACTTCTGACTCCTGGAGACCCCATGTGTTACAAGGTAGAAATGAGCTCAATCGGTTTTTCTTGACTGTAATCTTTATGGACGTAGATCACTAGGCCTTTCTTCAGTGGTGTCACTGGTTGAGCTTGAAAGCCAACCTTTGTGTTAGTACTGGATTGCAAACCACTTGCACCACCCAGGGTCTCCAAAACATACAGAGAATAGTACAGTTACATTCTAGAAATAAAACATCATGTAGTATAACACAGTGTATTAACCTATAGTAAAATGGGTAAGAAAATTAGACAGCTTTTCAAGTTGTACATCAGGCCTTGGGCAATTTTCATGTATTTATGATACAGTCAATTATCCATTCTCCGAAGACTTTGAAGTCATCTCTGAAAGTGGTTAGTGTTAATCCTTTCAGTTGAAAAAAACAGGTATAGTAAGGTCTTCTCTTAGGAAATAGAAATTAAGCGTAGATATGTGTATGGACAGGAGCTCTGGTACTATAGTGCCTAAGCCACTTGACTGCTAACCAGAAGGCTGTGGTTCAAACCCACCAGCCACTCCTCAGAAGGAAGGTTGGGCAATCTACTTCCATAGAGATACTGTCTCCGAAACCCGAAGAGGTGTCACTATGAGTCGGGTCTGACTCGATGGCACATAACAACAACATATGTGTGGACAACATAATGATATGACGTTAAATCCCAAATTAGATTTATCCCGAATATTCAGCAATAGGAAGGTTAAACATATTACAGTACACTTAAAAATGAATGATAAACCAAATCTGTTGCTGTGGAGTTGATTCCGACTCATAGTGACCCTGTTGTTGTTGTTGTTGTTATGTGCCGTTGAGTCAGACCCAACTCATAGCGACCCCTCCTTGGGTTTCCGAGGCAGTATCACTGCAGAAGTAGATTGCCCATCTTCCTTCCAAGGGGTGACCCTGTAGAACAGAGGTTTCCAAGTCTTTAATCTTTATGGAAGGATAAAGACTGTCAAATCTTTTTCTTGCAGAGTGGCTAGTAGGTTTAAACCATTGACTTTTGATTAGCAACCAAGTGCTTAACCACTGTACCACCAGTGTTCCTCTAGATGAATGATAGAAACTATAAGTGTTAAAAATGATATTTCTGAAGAATATCTAAATATGAGACAGTCATCCATGATACTACATTAAGCAGAACAGCAGGATATAAAGCAGAATATATCTCAGTGCTGTTCTGTGTGCACATATATATGTACCCATTGATTGACTGTTTATTTATTGTTAACTTTTTATAATGATTTGGGTGAAAGCTTGCAGAGAAAATTGGTTTTCCATTCAACAATTCATACACATTGTGTTTTTTGATATTGATTGCAATCCCTACAATGTAACAGCACTCTTCCCACTGTCTCCTTGTGTTTGCTGTTTCCATTCATCCTTCTTTTCTATCCCTTCCTGCCTTCTGATCTTTATCACTGGGCAAAGGCTGCCCTTTCCATCTCCCGTGTTTGATTGTTCTAAGGAGTGTTTACCTCCCTGGTGTTATTGTTCACTTTGTAGGACTGTCTGCTGTTTGGCTGAAAGTTGACACATGGGGATGTGTTCAATTCTAGGCTTGAAGGGTGACTAAAGGCCACAGTATCTGGGGTTCTACCAGTCTATCAGACCAATAAGCCTGATCTTTTTTTTTTTTTAATCATTTTGAGTTCTGTTCCATATTTTTCTCTCACTCAATCCAAAACTTTCCATTGTGATACCTTTCAGAGCACTCAGTAACCATCTAGTTCTTCTGGTCTCAGAGTCAAGGAGGCTGAAGCTCATGTAGTCCATTAGTCCTTTGGACCATTTGTTTTCATGTGTTTTTTATTTTCTTCCCTCTTCTTGGCTTCAGAAGAAGAGAGACCAATAATTTCATGTCAGATGGCCTCTTACTAGTTTTTAAGACCACAGTCACTACTCACCACAGTAAGGTGTAAAACATTGTCTTTGTGAAGTATTTTATGCCAATTGACTTAGCTGTCTCCAGAGACTGTGGTCACAAGCCACCAAGCCCAGTAACTGGTTACCTCAAGGTGTTTGGTTATGGCTAAGAAATTTTCAAAACTTTTTCTCCTGATTGCTCTACTAAATACATGGATATATTTATAGCACATACAAATACATATATAGAAATAGCCTCTGCCAAATCTATATATAATTGCAAGTGTAGTCCCAATTCCCCTATCCATGCCTTTTCAGCTTGCTTGTCTGCCTATGTATACACTTGTAGATTATTGTTTATTTCTGATGTTGCAGGATTGTATATGTAATAGAATTTCTCTTTGTATCTGTTCCTTCCGTGTACCTCTCCATGTTTTCCTTTGCCTTAGTTATATTATGCTGATTTTCCCTTTATTGTATATTGCCTTTCCCTTCACCCAAATTAATATGTGTCAATTATCTAGTTAGTAATTTTCCTTCTCCTCCCTTCCCATCTCTAGTAACCATCAAAGAATGTTTTGTTCTGTGTGTAAACGTTTCCCAGACTTTATAATAGTGAACACCTACAGTAATTTTCCTATTGTGATTGACTTATTTCTCTCAGCGTAATATCCTCCAGGTTCATTCACAATATGAGGTGTTTCATAGATTATTCATTATTCTTAAAGTTGCATAGTATTCCATTGTGTGTATGTACCTTACTTTATTTATCCATTCATCTGCTGATGGGCACTTAGGTTGTGTCTTATGCTGGGTTCTCTAGAGAAGCAAAACCAGTAAAGCTTATATATGTGTGTATATATATATGTGTGCGTGCGTGTGTGTGTATATGTGTGTGTGTGTGTGTGTATATATATATATATATATAGAGAGAGAGAGAGAGAGAAATTTATCTTAGAAAAATGGCTCAGACTTATAGAGGCTGGCAAGTCTCAAAATTGGCAGGCAGTATAACAGGTTGCTGACTTTGGCAGATGATGAATCCAAGATCAGCAGGCTCACAGGACAGTTGCAGGCAGCACAACAGGATCCAGATCTACAGAAGGTTCCCAGATTTTCCCAGGATGTCCGTTTATATATTGGAAGCAGGCCACACCCCTGATGAAACTCCCTTTCAGTTGATTGACTGCTTAAAGCATATACATCAGATCTCATCATGGGAACAACCACATCACAACTACTTAAACCATTCAGAATCATGGTCTAGTCAAGTTGACATACAACTCTAACTATCACAGGTTGTTT